TTGCTCTTCAAAGATTCATTCATCTAGGTTCTTCTAAGTAGCTTCTAAGTTAGGCCCCGTTCCCGTGGTTCAGCACAAATACTGTAGGAACCAGCGAGTTCGACTCGTGGTTGTTGTAGAGCGCTTCCGCAGCAGGAGGCTGGTCAATGAGGTCCTTGCCCTGGTTCAAAAGAGCAGACAAGTCATTGTTGTTCTGCTCCATCATCGACACAATCGACTCGGCTGATGTCAGTCTCGACAACAGAAGGTGGTTGTTGCTGGCGGAGCTCTTGGGGCTGTGCAATATCTTCAACTCCATCAACTGCTGCTGTTGTTTCAAAATCTCGTTCTGGAGCTTGAGGTAGTTCTCGTGCTCCTTCTGATGCAAATCACCAGAGCTTTCGCCTGGCGTCATGGATCCCGTCGATCCCGTAGGCGACCTGGCCGAGGCGGGTGACATGGCTCCGTGAGAGATAGGAGTGGCTGGCTTTTCTGCCTCATGAGCTGGAGACGCCAATGGCGAAGGACCAGCAGAAAGCACTTCTGGCGATTGCGACTGCGAGTGAGTGGCGTTTGGAAGATCGGTGAAAGTGTTCTCGAATGGGTTCTTTTCCGTCTTGACCGTCTCGGATGGCAGCTGTACGCGAGGAGTGAAAATACCACTGAGACTCTCCTGGGCCTGGTCTTTGCCGGGGGGTTGATCGAGCGACAAGGTCATGTTGTTGCTCTTGCCCTTCTTGGCAGACTCTGGAAGCTTCTTGTCTCTCATGTCCAACTTGTTCTCGATGTAGTCGAATCTCTTCAAGTGCAGCGACGAGAACTTGAGCAAGTCATGCAAATCCGTGGACCAGTTCTGGAAATCTTCCTGGTTGGCACACTTGAAGGTGAATTTTTGCGAGCTGCTGGAGATTTTGGTCAAGATAAACTTGAAATCCTTCTCGCTCTTGAGCTGGAACGAGTAGTTGTTCAAGTTGTAGGACTTGACCGGGGTATCACCAGGGCCAACCACACCACCAATCTTGCCCTTCTTCTTCTTCTGGCTCGACTTTTCGCCCGTCTTCTTGTCTGCTTTGGATGTGGCGTCCGAAATCTTGTCCGACATGGTGTCAAGACGGAACTCATGCAAATAGTTACAGGTCAACAAGTAGAAGTACGAGGTGTACGACTTGATGAGCCTCTGCTTCTTGTACATGATGCCACAGCGCAAGCACTTGGAATGCAAAGTATCAGCGAATGGAATGACAATGTCGTGAGCTGTTCTGATCTCACGCTTGGGCAGCTGCTCTGTCGAGTAGAACGTGTTCAAGAAGTTGGGATTGTGCGAGATGAAGAACTCCCAATCGTTGTTGGCATTGTTGATGTAGTTTTTGAGTGTCCAGGAGAGGTTGTACAATGCATTTTCGGCGGATGAAGCGTACACCTCTCCGTTGCAGAGTCTGCCCACGCGTTCAGTGACAAAGTTCAAGTCCTTGATGACATAGTTGAAAAGGTCCTTGGAGATGTTCTGCAAATTGACGTACGATGCGTAGACGTAGTTTTCGTGGATCAATTGGTTCTTGAGCTGGTAGTCAAGACGCAATTTCACGAGGAACGGATCCGACAAGGAGTCGTCGTCATCGTCGCCCTCCAGCTCCTTGGAAAGCACAGGACGTGGACCGGAGTAGCGGCGGATGCTGGACACGAACGTGTTGATGACTGCGCCGGTCTTGGAAATCTCTCTGGCCAAGGAAGGGTTGGCAAATGAGTCGTTCTTCAACGACAGCTTGATCTCCTTGATCTTGTTGCCCAAGTTGCGGTGCAAGCTCTCCAACTTGGGAATGAGCTTATGCTGGAGGTCCTTGGTGATTCTCGTCTGGGCCGCGTAGGTGTGGTAGTGGTGGTTGACCAAAGCCCCGGCCATGTTGGTGAACAACGAGTTGGCGGGAAAGTAGTTTGGGTCCACAGCCACGTCGGACTTGGGCACGTACTTGGCCGCCGCCACCGACAGCGAGAGCGACGACAGCGTGGAGGTGTGGTTCAACTGGTTGGCCTGGTCCTTCTTCTTGGGCGCTGGAAGGTCGCTCAACGTGGTGGACGAGGGCGTTTTGCGGTGGGCAAAGGGCTGGTTCTTAAAGATGGACGACTGGGATTTCTGTTTGGGCAATCCCGGGCGAGCCGCCAAGTTCGTGGACAGAGCATTCAGCGATTTGCCCAACTCCTTGGATCCCTGGGGCGACAGCGGCGATGCCTGGGCCTGTTGCACGGCCAGGAGGGTCCGGAAAGCCAAGTCACGGTAGCCAGGGAACTGCACGGAGCCCACAAGCTGGAGATTCAAGTTCAGCTCAAACTCCTTCGCGTTGGCCACATCCTTAAGGTAGGCAATCAAGCTGGCGATGAAGTGCTTCCAGAGCTTGAAGTAGGCGACCAAGTGGTCGACGGGTTTTGCGTCGTAGGCCGGGGCGTTGGTGTGGAAGGGACTGCGCCGGTCCAGCGAAGGTAGAATGTCAGACGACATGGCGGGGGGTGTCTATAGGAGAAATTTAGAAAAGGTGTAGGTGGATCGCGATCGGTATATATAGTGCCGGGGCTGGGCTCTCGCTAATCGCGCCTAGCAAGGCGATGATGAGATGGAGGTGGGGGTTACTAACGGAAGGTGCAACAGAGCAATTATGTGATGATCCAGAAATTACAATAATCATAATCTATTCAAAATATTCAAGATATTCAAAATCCCAAAGCTACCCAAATCACTCTTTCAACCTGACTGTGTTCTGGATGCATCTCGCAGGGGGCCTGCGGCGCCGGAAAAATGTGGCCTCCAACGATTGCAAAAATAGCCCTCCTGCTTCCATCCACACATCGAAGGCATTATTGTTGTATTTGGGCGACAAAACCTGGTGCCAAAACCGGACCTTCTCTACACTCCGCGGGTCTCAAAACCGCCCTTCTTTGTCTGGTGCCGCCTTGTGCCTATTCTTCAAGAATCCCAGTGCGTCCAGTCTGCGCCCAAACGCTTGCTGGTGCCGATGGGTGCAAAAGACCCCGGAGACCGATAGTGCCGTTTCCAGAACGTAAACAAAAGAAAAACAACGACCTTTACAAAATTTGTTATTATCCAGCAACCCCCTCCTTCGGCCCTGGGGTCTGTTTATTGCTCGTTAGGCTGTGTGCTCATCGTGCCGCTGTCGCACCGCACAATGCTGGGCGACGTATTGTCGTCATTTTCTTTTTTTCCTGCCTGTTTTTGCGGCCGGACTGAAATGTCGATACTGCCGTTTGCCCCACCGGCCCCACCGGCTCACCTGATCCGCCAGAACCCGATTTGATTGGCCTGAAACCAAAAAAGAGAAAAACAGAGGAGAAAAACAAAGGAGAAAAAAAATAGCTCAAAATGCTCTTCTGCCATTGGCGGCGCCATTGGCGGCGCCATCGGCGGGTTGCAACTGCTCCACATTCCTCCTGCGCGGACGTCCACCTGCCTTTTTCCAGACTGCCTTGACTCGTTCCATGCGCCAAGAGCCATTGAGGTGGTGCCGTTGTTTCCATGACGTTGCTTGTTGGAATGTGGGGCACCGGCGGCCGTTGCAGGGCTTTTGAACTTTTGTCGCTTTTTTTTTTGTTTTTCTTGGAAATCACAACCCAAGCACTGGCACCTCGAGGTTTGGCGCAATTTCCAGACACAAAGCTCACCGCCAGAATCGCACCCCAGAGGCGGACCAGGCACCGCGGTAATCGTCAGCCATCCCACGAGAAGGTGGCCCATAGTGGCAGTGTAATAAATTGATTTAGATGAAAGTACAAAAAATTCAAAGAACATAAAGTACGCAAAGAACATAAAAAGATTGAAATTACGAATTATTGCCAAAATCCAAATCATGCTGAACTCGACACCACCCTTCTCTCAACAAGAGATGGGGGCTGAAAATTGCGTTCTCAGCACCGCCGAAGCAGAGGGCTGATAAGCTCCAGCGCGGCTCCTCCGAGTAGGCTTAGAATTTACACTTTTCGCTATAAATACAGAGCTAATTCCCTCGTTTGCGCTTGTTCTGAGCCTCCTGGCAAACGACCCTCTATCTTGTTTCTCCTCGTTTCTCGTGCCGTTCGCTCCAGTGGCCTACAACCTCTTCGCACCCCATCGGCCATTGACAGCTGACAGCTTCTTGGCGGTTCGACACATCCGCCTTTTCGTCATTTAGCACTGCCCGCCTGGACCAGATGGACCAAGGGGCTTCTGATTTACAGCATTGTGGCATCTAGGGCGGGACGGTAAAGTGTCACAAACAGGGCTTAGGCGAGATCAATATATGCACAGATAACGGTCTGCCACGAGGTCGATCGGATCGGTGGACAATGGGCAGATGGCGTGGTTTGGCAGGTTGGCAGTTTGGTCTGGACCAGGCGTAAAGTGTAATAGGCAGGGCGTAAAGGGTAATTTATTGGGTGGTTTTTGTATTGTTTCAGCAAAGCCTCGTGTCGAGGTGTCTCGAGGGAGCATCGCACTAGCCACAGGTGGGTGTAGATAAGGCGGTGTGGTTTGGGGTCTTTTGATAGAGGTCGAGAAGATGTGAGGAGACATGTTGAAGAGGGAAGCCATGAGGTTAATAGATCTGCTTAAGGTTTGAAAGTCTATTGGTTGTCTCAATTATTGATATGACTTAGAGGGCTATACTTAGTTGAAGGCGGGCCATGGACCAAGGACTGTTCATCTGAATCATAAATTTCATCAATTCAAGAAATTAAAACTTTTCATATCGTTTTCTCAAATGATTTCCTCCTTCTCTCCCTTCACCACCTCAAGTTCACTATCCATATACTCATCCTCACTACCTCTACCTCTACCCCTACCTCTTCCTCATTCTCACCACTTGCACAAGCAGCTTTTTGCACCCAACCCTTTTAATCTTGAAGCTCCCGCCAAAGTCAAACTTCCACCTGTTCTACTCAATCGGCCTCTATTTCTTCACATCCAAACCGCAATACTTAAACGCAGCACCGTTCTTGACTTGGCCGCCTCTTCTAATCCACCTACTCCGTTCCCTCCAATGTCGGTTATGCTTTCGTGGGAGCTCTGGCTCGACTACCAGCTTTCTGAATCCATTGGAAGCTCTTCGGAATTTCTAAAGTTGCCTCAACCCCAGCATGTCCTTTTTGCTGACCTGCCTACGACAATACCCCCTGCTAAACACCGAAACTGGACCAGGCGCCATTTATGGAAACTCAGACCAGCCAGCCAAACAGGCCTGCTTGATCCGCCTGCTCCAATTCTCAAAAATAAGATGAATGGCAATTTCGAAGCTGAATTCAGGCTTCTTCAAGAAAGCGATAATGAAAGCTTTGAGGAGTTTCATTTGAGATACATGTTTCCAGGATCACCAGAGGAGCAGGGCTACGAAGCCAGACAAAAGCAGCTCTGGCTTTACAGAAAAGGCAGTGAAGTGAGGGATATTTCTTAAGACGTTGGGATCGAAGCGCTCTAGTTGCCTGATAAGTGCTATAGATGATGAATATTATGTTACAGTCACTGAATAATATTGGTAGGCAATAGCACACGAAATTAGCTTCTTCACAAAAGGATGTAGAATACTTGTTGGTTTGGGATTCATCCATTCATTGACGAGTGTCTTGTCATGGGGCCCCTTGTCCATGGGATCTTTGGTCACCCTCATGGCTGCAACACAAACACCACCGCTAACAACTCTTCCTACCACTCTGCTCTAAAACCCAAAATACCACCTAGGTTTCTGCAAAATAATGTCACTAACGTCGCCGTCTCGCTATGCTTTCTTCAAGGGTGAAGAGAAGCCCCAAAAAGGCAAGACTGAAGGTGAGCCTGAAGGTAAGCCAATTGAGGGAAAGTCCGAAGACAAACCCAAGGACAAGAAGCCCAAAGAAGACCAGCCCAAGGAACAAAAGCCCAAACACAAGCTTGAAGATGGCAAGCCCAAGAAGCACAGTCCCAAAAATGGTAAGCCCACGGTGGAACAGCCCAGGGAGTACAGACCACAGGGCAGGCCCTATCAGCACCAGATTATAAGCGTTCCCAGGCCCGGATGGCCCCCATACCCCTACCTCATGAGCTACCAGGAAAACTACTTCGACTGGCAGCTGCTCCAGTATTACAACCATGCCTTTGCGGCGAATCCAGCCAATCGTGCTGCAGACCTGCCTCAGTCGCTGGTGTTTCTGTACCGCCAAGCAGAGCCTTCGCCAGATGGTTCAGTGGTTTCAGAGCCATCAAGAGCACCCAAGCTACCTGTACGAGGGCGTCCAAGGAAATCACCAAGTCCCCTGGAAGCCCCCAAAAAGCCGAACAAAAACGCTGTCTGCGGCGAGGGACCTCCAGGAACCATATGGCTCTACACCACCGGAGACCAGGTTCGCCGGAACCGGCCAGAGTATGCGGGCAATCTAGATTTTGGCATTTCCCAGCGGTACGCCGCCAGCAACCCGGCCGCCGAGGTGAGTAGCCAGACTTTGGCCACCGTTCAGCTGGAATTTGCAGCCACCGATGCGTACCGTGCAAGCCTGCGCCGGCGCCCGAAAAACGAGGCTAGTAGCGACGGCCTGGTGCGGAAAAAGCGCAAGCTCAATGGCTGCGAATGGAAGCCGGAGCTGTTGTATAAAACATACAGCGAGTGCAAGCCGGACTTTTTCGACGGAAGCGATTACAACGACCATGTGCCTGCGTCGCTGTGTTTTGGTATGATCAACATGAGAGCTCCCAAGGCGTGGAGACGGGGACCTCGGAAGCATTTGCAGCCGAGAAGCGGCACCAAGAGAGTTCGCGCTCGCGCCAGGCCCAAGACTCCGGAGCCTCTGCTGGAGTTTCTGCCGGAGCCACTGCCTCTGCCGCTGCCTGAATATTCTCCAGAGTATCTGCCGCCACCGCCACAATTGGAGCAGGTTGAGCCGGTCGGGACTTTGAAGGATTCTGCTGAAATGCCAGAAAATGAAGATTTGCCAAAAAATGGAAGCAGCGCTCCGAAATTCACCACCCAGGCGGAGTTTGAGGCCGAGCAGGCGAGTGCTCGCGCCAGGCTGCAGCAGGCCAGAATCGAGGCCTACTGCCGGCAGTAGGTGCGAAGTCTGGACACCAGTGGTAAAATAGCCCACAGACCCTAGTCCATAGCCTTAGCCCATATAACTAATGAATTGACTGATAAAGCGGTATTCAGTAGAATGGTCACGTAAGTACGATCGCCTTCTAATTGCTCAAATTTACCGATACGTGGTCAATTGACCTCAATGTGGTTGGGGGTGGTCTGGCTGCGAAATCCTCCAGACTCCGCGCACCCAGCCAAACCCACAATACACACCTCCGTGATTCACGCCAGCTGAACCACTTCGCCTACCTTTTCGGCACTTTCCACCCTCTTCATCTCATTTTCTTCAATAACGCTTGTTGTTTTTCTTGCCGCCCTTTCCCTTTCAAGAAGCTCCTTTTTCACCGCCACGCCCCAGCGAAATCCCGCCATCAGGCCGTCGCGGGCCACCACCCGATGGCACGGAACGAGCACCGCGAGCCGATTCGCAGCCACCGCCCCAGCAACGGCTCGAGCCAGCGCGGGCTCCATCCCCAACGCCGCCGCCACCGCCGAATACGTGGTTGTTTTTCCGCAAGGCACGCTTTCAAGGTGGCGCCAGACGCGTTGCTGGAAGTCCGTTCCAAACAAATAGCGGGTTGGTATTTTCTGGCGGGACGTGTCGCTCGGGCTGGAGAGGTGGTTTTGCACTAGGGCCACTAGTTCGCGCGGGCCGTTTTTCTGGGGACGGGGCGAGCGTTTCAAACGGCTGAAGTCGTGGCGCATGGTGGCCACAAGCAGGTGCCAGCGGCCGAGAGAAAAGTAGACCACAGTGTCGTTTTCAAGTACCACGAGGGCGTCTGGAGCCAAGCTGGTTTTGTCGAGTGGAACGTGGAAATAAGTAAGTGACATGGCGCGTTAGATGAAAATAGTGGTGCTGCGTGAGATAATGCAGGCGAGGGTCCTCGTAGATATGGATCGCAGCGAATGAGTCATCACGAGGGGTACATTTGGGTTGGCCAAGGAGGGCTTTCTTCTATGGGAATCATCGAACAGTCCATTAGGTTGAAGGTGGGTTAGTCGGTGGATGTAGGGGATGTATTAGGGATGGTGGAGAGGGATGACTGGGGATGGTTGCAAAATGTATAGGTACATGATCTGGTGGGATAGCGGGGCGTTTGCGATGTAATTGAGGTTGAGGATGTGGAGCAGGTGGGCTGCTTCTTTCTTCTAGTGTATCCTTGTGGGGACTATTGGGTGGAATTCGTGGGTAATGGAGTGCAATCTTCACTTGGTGCTCTCAGTGACTCGGATTCATAATGAGGCTGGACTCTAGATCACCCTATCAACGATCAATCGACTTCAAAATTGAAAAAGCTTAAACACGTTATTCTGCTGGCTCCAGGATTCAAGTTTGTGTGTAACTTGGCCGAATTTAGTAAATTTAAGTGTGATACGAAGGCCATTGAATCCACAACTGAATCCAAACCACACAAGCCCTGGTATTATTCTCGGCTATCAAGCTTTCAACGCCTCAATTATTGGTACTCCCTATCACATTCATCGATATCCTTGACTTAACAGCCTCAGGTCATCTTCAATTGGCTATTGAAGTGAGCTCCGAAGGCAACTGGAAGGTGCACAACGAGACGAGCGTTTATGGCCATTAAGAGGGTATCAAATGTCCGTATTATTCCTCAAAACCCCCTCCCAAAAAAAGATCAGCTTTTAAGGTCTGTGTTGAGTATATTGTTTAAGCATTTAGTCAAAAGGCTCAAGTTCTATTTAGACTTTAAAGTTCAACAGCATTTGCATATTTAACCAGCGCGCCCACTTCTTCAAGATTGGTTTCGTGGTCTAGTTGGTTATGGCATCTGCTTAACACGCAGAACGTCCCCAGTTCGATCCTGGGCGAAATCACTCTTCTTTTTTGGATTTTAAAGCCTTCCTTTTTTTTTTCCAATTATCACTTCATTTCTCAAGAAATCTAATGCATACGCTGTGTATAATGTAGTTACAATATATTGAATAGTTCGGCACAGCCAGGTGCCTGAGAATTGAATCTGCAGAATCCATCAGCAGAAAATGCTATACAATCTGAAGTAGAATGGCTTGGAAGCAAGTATGGCCTTTTCCTCGGCAATCTCCTGCTTCAATGCCTCCAAGTCCATCTCTCTACGGCCTGTGTCGATGTCCACCTCGTCAATGGGGATGTACATCCGCCAGTTCCTCTTCCAAATCTTGTGGAAAAGGTAAAATACGATAATGATGGGGAACGACAAGTAGGCCTTGAAAAATGCCTCGACGTTGGGCTTCTCACCAAGAGGGAAGAGCGCAATCCAGAATTGGGCAATGAGCACCAAAACGTTCAAAGTTAAGCCGAAGCAAGAGCCTGGCAAACCAGCTAACGAAGTGAAAGCCAACTCGTCCGTGCCTCTACCTCTCCACTTCAAGGCGTATCTGAAACGAATGTGACAGAGACAGATGGAAGCCCAAGTGAACACGGCAGACAATGCGGAAAGGGCCAACATCCAGTCGAAGGCCTCACCTTGCTTGTCAGAAGCTGAAATGAAACAGAGCAAGCCAAAAACAGCCAGCAATCCGATACCAAAGATAGGCCTTCCCTTTTTGTCAATGTAGCCGAAGCACTTTGGTGCCATGTTAGCAGCAGCCAAGGCACACAAGGTTCTCGAAGCTCCAAACACAGAAGAGTTACCGACAGACAAGACCGCAATGATGATAACAACGTTCATCACGGAGGGTAATCCTCCGATACCTGCAGCTTCAATGGCAATCACAAATGGGGAGTATCTGGCAGTACCGTCAGACTTCTTCAAGTCCTCATTATTATATGGCACCAACAAGCCCACCACGACAAGGGAAACAATGTAGAATAAGGTGATTCTCCAGAAAACCTGCTTCGTGGCTCTGGGAAGAGACTTTCTTGGATTTTTGGTTTCCGCCGCAGCCAAACCGGCCAACTCCGTGCCCAAAAATGCAAAAGCAGCAGTGACGAAAACAGCACAAAGACCCTTGAAGCCGTTGTTGAAAGCACCGGGATTGCTCCAGTACTTTCCGCCAATATAGCCACCTCTGGGACCACCACCACAGATCAAAACGATACCGAGGATGATGAAACCAATCACGGCCAAGACCTTGAGGAGAGAGAAGACAAACTCTGCCTCACCGTAGCCCTTGACACCAAACAAGTTGATCATGATGATTAAAATGTAGAATGCCGCACAGAAAGCAGCAGGATTCGTGGACTCGTCCCAAAACTGGATCGTGATGGCCGCTGCGACCAACTCAAGAGGTAGAATCACCAACCACTGCATGGCGTAATTCCATGCCATGGCAAATCCCCACGAGGGATCAATAAAACGCACATTATAGGTGACGAAAGCACCAGACACAGGGAAACAAATGGCCAATTCACCCAAGGCGTGGACCATGCAGAAAATCATACCGCCAATCAAGGCGTAGGCAATCAAGACCGAGGCTGGGCCACCGTTTGCCAAAACCTTACCTGAACCGATAAACAAACCTGTACCAATAGCACCGCCAATGGCAATCATTTGCAAGTGACGAGACTTAAGCGAACGAGACAAGGGCGATTGGGCAGTGATGATAGCGGCTTTCTCGATATCGGACAAGTTGGGGTCCAAGTTCAACTCGGACTCATCAAAGCGACGGAAACTATCCACAAGGCGGCCAAAAAGCCCCATTTGAGGCTCGACCGAGGAAGAAACATCGGAGTCGTATGGCAGCGCCACGACGTTGACGCCGTTCTTATCAAACAGCGGACTACTTTCTGGGTTTGCAGCCATTTTGCGTTATCCATCTTGGCGCCCACCAGCCGCTTTATATGGATGCAAATCACCTGTATGCACTGTGTGGAATCCGGGGCACCATCACCAGGCACAAAAGACAAAACAAGGCATTATAGTCACCCCGCGTCGTTAACGTGCTCGGAGTGGGAGTTCTGGTTCCGTCGGGGCCAAAAAGTGCCGCATTCCGGCACGATCAGTGGCTCAGAAGGTGGTGCTAGGGCGAGTGTGGGGGGAGAAAATATCAATCAGCCGTATCCTCCCCGCCTGGTATCCGCGCCAGATTCTAGTATCTTCCGCGCCAGCTCGGCGATTATGGCGCCAGACCACCTCAATTGACTTTTTTTTGACTTTGTCTAGATTATCAGTCAGGGACTCTGCCCTCTAGGAACTCATCTGGTTGTTAGTAATTGCTGTAATGTTGGACTCATACGGGTGTTAGTTGATTTCAGTCGGCGTAGCCGTCATGACGATAACGCATATTGAATAATCACTGTCCATCTCGAAGGGCACATACCTTGAATTGGGTTTGGGTGGGGACGGAGACCGAAAAAAGGAAAAAAAAAAAAGGACTGAGGTAGTAATCGGAGTGAGATTCCCGAAGGGTTTTTTTTTTTGCGTACCCGCTCATCGCTACCGACTCTGCAGTATCACCAAGACCTCGTTCGATTGATACTCATTGTAGATGCTCGTAAAACGCTGCCCCTCGCCTTGGCATTGTGTCAAGCAGCGGCATGCGGACTTCAACTTCCACTGCCTGGTTTCAGCCACTATCTCAATTCCAGCTGGATCTTTTTGGCCCACCGCTGGAGCGACTCCACTTTGTCGAGCACCTCGTCTTCGCCGTCATTGGACTCGTCGGCAACGGCGTTTTGCACTTGTGCTGTATCTTCCTGCTGCTCTGAAAAGACCTTCTCTTTTTGTGTTACCGTCGTACGGACCAACGCCGGAAACGTGTTCTTCATGTAACCAAACCACTCCTCCACTAGACTGCCAATTTTGGCCCAGTCAAAGAAACGAATGTGCACTTTGCCGGGAAAGATAACAGAGTTGATCACAGACTGAGCACATTTGGCGTCTGGCTCTTTGTTTTCCGCACAATAGTCGATATCCATGGCGTTTGAAGTATCTGCAGAGTCTATCCAGAGGCCGTTGAATCCAATAGCTAACAAGATGCGGAGATTGTTCTGCACGTCTGATGCGTTTAGGGTACTAGGTAGAAACTCTTTCTTGCTGGACTGTGTTTCGATGAATTTGTTTGTGAAATCCACCTTGATGTTGTGGTAGTTTCCCTGGTTGGCCATTTTGATGAGGAGGTCCTCTAGGTGTGCCTCGCTCTCTAGTTGGAGTTTCCGAATTACCAGATCAAAACGTATTGTTTTGTAAGCTTTGAGAAGGTTAAGCAAGAGTCTCACCTTGATGTTATGCAAAATGTGGCCAGAGGCGTTTTCAAAGATTCTGTCCTGGATAAGGGCGTCGTTCTCCGTCTTCATTTTCTCTAGCACGTAGAGGTAGCCCTTTAAATCAAGGGTTTCACAGCAATTCACAAGCTCAATCAAGTTTCTGTACTCTGGAAGAGCGGCGTACGACTGGGTTTCCTGAGACTCAAAAGGATTGACCTCATTTTCAGTGAGCAACAGGCACAAGCTGAGGTACTTCAAAATCTTCTTTTTCGTATCCGATCCAGCCTCATCGTAGTTTTTGAAGGCCTCGTAGAATTCGACACGCGCCGTCTCGAAGTTCCTTCTATAAAAATGGATGGTAGCGCTGCACTCTCTGATCACACCCATTACACGGGGATGCGTGATGGTGGACGAAACCTTTGAAGCCTTTCTATGCAAATAGCTCAACCGCAGTAGATTAATATCAGTCTTGAAAGTGTACTCGATCTCAGCAGCAATGATATCAAGGATGTACGAGTTTTGCGTCAGTTCAGAGACTGTTTCCAACTTGGAGTTGATGGCAGCTATTAGCAGGGAACACTCGTCTAGCGGGCCGTTATCCAAAAAGTTGCGTAGTCTGTTCATGTTGATTCTGATCCAGAGTCTCTGACCCGAAACCGCCAGAGCCATAGAATCCTGCAAATGTGAAACGATCACGTCGTACATTCGAAGCACAAACTGCTGGTCGTTGCAGGCCGAGTATCTGTGGAGCAATTTGGATATCGAGTCCTCGGCGTAATTGCCATTGAGCTTGGGTAGTAGCTGGATCAAGCTGCCTATGTATTCGAGCACCTCGTCAAAACGGCCCTGGTGGTAGGCCATTTTGGCCAATTGCTTTCGTGCCTTGAAGATCCATTCCACGTCTTCGTTTGGGTCAGCAGCAGCAATCAAAGCCTTCATCTGTTCAGAGGCAGCATCAAGCGAGTCCTCCTTCAACGACTTGGCATAGTAGTATTTATTTTCCGTGGAGTCCTGATCAGGGGCCTCGCTCTGGATAACGTCGTCGTCTTCATCCTCAAATTCGAATTCATAGCTTTCTTCAGACAAAAAGTCGTCTTCGTCAGACATGCCAGGAAAAGTAGGAGAGAGTTAACGGTATACTCAACGTTGATGTACACTGTGTGTAGGAGGAGCCAAGAGGCGAAGAAAGAGGCTGATCAATTGGCTGAGGGGCGGTGATACAGACCTTTATATGAAGATTTAAAGAATTGACAATGGCCAGGTTTTTGCCTTTTTTTTTTTTTTTCTTCTCGTTCTGAGGATGACAAGTGCTCAAGGCATAGACGATTTGGTATAGTTGCGATGGCTGCAAACTCTGTAGATCCTATCCCACAGTGCCAAACAAACTTGACTCATGAAAGAAATTTTCTTATTTTTTGAAGAGAGAGTAAAGAAGGCCAGATTCTGAGGTGCATCGTTTCAATCGACCTTCTAGTGTGATTCTGAGGTTTCAGTACCACACCCTGGAGAGTACCTTATGAGGACTTTCCCCAAAAAGGCAAACAACCCAGGATTTCTCTAAAATCTATTTTTTTAGTTTGCAGAAGATCCAAGAGTGTTACAACCCACCTACTGAACACTCCCGCTGATATCAATTGAGTATAAACGATTCTCTAACGTAAGCACCGAAGGAGGCTTCAAGCCATAAAACATCGCAAAGAACAAATTTTCCAATTCTCTCCCCTAAGCAGCAACAACGTTGGATGTCGCTGATTCCTTAAACTGAGCAACAGAAATCTCCTTGTTGGTGAGATCATAGTAGACATACGCCTGTCTCAAAAAGACGTCTCCAAGGATGAAATTTCTCTGACTGGGTTGGGCTCCTACCACGCAAGTCTCGCCCCATTTGACCAAAATGTCCTGGTAAGACAATCTGATCACATTCTTGCCGAAATTGAACTCCAAGTACTTGTCGGCAGGCTGGTTGCAGTCTGCAATGTAGTAGTCCTTCTGTGGGGTAGCGTTCAACGCCTTGATGGTATCGTTGTAGACCTGCTGAGGCCACAAGTTCCAGGAAGTGCCCGAATCCAAAAGGTAGCTGGTGGTCTCATTGTAGTTGGTTCCATTGATCGACAGAGAAACGACATCAAGAGACAAAGCCTCCACGCCGTTTGGAATAGGGTACTTGACCAATTCTCCCTCGTACTTGTCCTCGTCAATACCACCAAAGATAATTGTGCCCGACTCAGAGCCCAAATACAAGGAGTAACTGGCCTCTGGGGTCACACCTGCCACTTTCAAAGCCTCAGGCAAATTGTCGTACTTCTCCTTGGTAGACTCCACAGCCTTGCTTGCCACACCAAGAATACCTGGTCCGCTGAATTTGGCAGACTCCACCACGGCAAACTGGAGATCCTTCAAAAGACCCTCCAGCAGAGAAAACGAAAAATCATCAAGGAAGTACTCACCCTGTGCATTGGTGCCATCCAAGTAAGCGATGGAGAATGAGTTATTCACCGGAGTACTACCGGCCTCTTCCGGGTCAAAAGTTCCACCAGTGGAGCTCAGAACATTGGGTCCATACACCCAAAGATCAGCCAGGCCGGTGTCCAAGGAAACGGTGATTTTTTCACTCTCAGGACCCAAGTAGATGTCGAGCCAGTAGTTGACATTGTTGTGGTTTGAAAGCAGGGCGGAGTCGTAGCGTTTCTCAAGGAGCTGCAGGCCTAGTTTCTGGAAAAAATCGATATTCCAAAACTTCGAGTCCGGCCCGAAGTTTCTGGAGATGCTAAAGTCAAACGACAATGGCTTAGGAACCAGCTTAATGGCTGCAAAAGGCAATGCAGAAGCCGTAGCGAGCGTAGCTAACGAAACAAGCATCGATAGAGGAGGAGATGAAAAGAATTAAGGGCATTCAGAGGGGGAAGCAAATGACGTTTTATAGCACGGTTCCGATGTCTAGTTTGCTGGCTGCGTTAAGCCACTTCACTTGCATTCAGTGTGGGTCTCACAAGCCACGATAATTCCCAAACAGGTGCCATGTGGCCGGAAAGAGGAAAATGATAAACTGCTTCTGGTGCTCTAAAAAGATGCAATGATGACAGAAGATCTGGCCGATCCTTCGGTGCATTTTGTGTTGGTGTCTCACTGCCCGTTATCAACAAAGCCGTTGGACAAAACCAAACTTTAAAACAAAGAACTGACACAAAACGGCTTCCCCAAACTTGCTGCTTTCAACTCCGCACATGGGACTTTTTAGATAGCCACAGTGCATTAGTCTGCAATTACGGCCACCTCAGTGAGCGGCATGAATTTCCGCTTCCACCTGAACCACACAAGCCACAGCGATAGGGGTTTCCAGAAAGAAGAATTGAGCGCCATAGATACGATTTCAGGTGAAATTGGAATTGTGGAAGCAGTGATTTATGCACCGAAGGTTATTTTGCGTATAACTCGCTGAAAACCGGGAATTACGCCGTTTCCGCTTGCAGCCATACTTTTCTGCGCATGAAAAATTGATTCCAAATATCAAATATAGGAAGTTCCGAGATCCTGTTTCAGCTAATGTTTCATATTACTTTGTAAGTCAGAATTGAACATAATGCTCGTATGGCGCAGTGGTAGCGCAGCAGATTGCAAATCTGTTGGTCCTTAGTTCGAACCTGAGTGCGAGCTCTTTTTTGCCAATCTCTTCTATATTGCCTTACTTTTTTTTTTTGATTTCTACATCACAGTTTCATTATCCGTTTATCTAGCACTATACAATCTCGACCGAGTACAACACAAATGGCTCGTACTCAGAGTCCACCAATGATGCATACTCATGCAAATTGTTCCCTTGCGAGAAGCCGTCGCCGCCCAAGTAGCCAAACTTATTAATCAACTCCTTCTTGGCCTTCTGCAACTGCTGTTCGGGGTTGTTGCTCACAAACCTGATGGAGTAGGAGTCAAACTGAGGAGGCAACCCGTACCTCAACACACTCTCAACGTATATGCGGATGGCTTTGATGTGGAACCAGGAGGAGAAGATCTCCGAGTAGGCAGTCTTGGCCAATCTAATCACATCGTTCTTCGTCTTGGCCTCGGTGGCTCTCGTCAAGTCAAACTCTTTTCTCAACTCGTTCAAGTTCTCCTCAGAGTAAGTGAAGTCCGTTCTTGGATGCCATTTCTGTTCTCTGGCGGCGGTGATGAACTCGTTCTGGTACTTTTTGAATAACGTGACTGTGAACAAAGTCCACTCAGAGTCTTGAGCAATGTTCTGGGCGCTTCTGGGAATGACGAACTCGGTCAACTTTTCGTACGTTTTCTTGAACTCGGCCACCGATGATTTGGGCACAGCAACCACGATCGTCGTCAAATACTCAGAATCCAACACAAACTGCTCTGGCTTGACAATGTCGTGCAAAGAACGGATCGACAAGTCACCATTGCGTTTTCTGTCCGCGGCAGCAAAGTTGGACTTGGCGGTCTGGTACTGCTGGTATGACTGTCTCACATCGTTGTCCAACAGCAAGGCCTCCTGTGAAATGAGATCCACAAGCTCCTTGATCGACTTGTCCAATCTGTACTTGGATGTGTTCCAAGAGAAGGATTCAATGTAGTTGGTGACAGGTCTCTTGTTCACCTGTCTAGTCTCGGCAAACAGCCTGTTTGGCTCGACATTGCTCAAAACATCAACCACCTTTGCCACCGAGGCGCCCAAAGTCGAGTCGATCTTGGCCAATTCCTCTGAGATTTGAACCAACTGGTCCAACGTTTTAATCTGGAAGTCGGGCAATTTGAATTCAGAAAGCAGCTGTGGGCCTCCGCCAGGCTGCAGCTCCAATGTGGCACGTGAGTTGGCCGATTGGGGCAACGACACAAGAAGGTATTGTGGAGGCTGGTCCATTGTGGTCGGAGAAGTGAGTATCGGTGGTAACAGTGGAGGTGTCTTGATAATCGGTGTCCTGGTGCACGGGTGTGCTGCTATCACCACGGAGGCCCTATCCCTGATTGGATTGTAAACCGAAGGATGGGTTAGGTAATTAGGGGGGTATTTATTTGCGGTGGTTTGAGGTGGGCTTTCGTTGACAGGTATCTGTTTGATACGGTGCCGGTGTAATGGGTGTCATTTGCTGGAGACCGATTTCGCAACCATTCAAGCTCGTGACGAATGTTAGGTGTGATAAGGGAGAATGGGTGGAAGGAACATTGGAAGGGGATCAGTATTTTTCTTCTTTTTTTCTTGTAGTATGGGGATGTTTTGCTTTTGTTTTGCGTCTCGTCCTACACTCCTTTGGGAGATCCTTGTAGGTTGCTTAACGATAACGCCAGTAGTAATGGATCAGCTGTTAGATAGTAGTTTGTACGTCAATTTATTGCTCGTAATTGATAAAATACGAGACGTTTCGAATTTCTGGAAGTCTACAAAATAGTGTCGTTTTGTGTTTGACCTTCCATTTTCATAACTTTTCCAACTTTTACATTGAGAACCCACAGATTGCAGTATTTCAAAAAATTCAGCGAGCTCCGAAAATCAGAAACCAACAAGAACGTCAAACATAAGCCAGGGCTTGACGAGCTAAGCTTCCCCTTTCACGTGGATTTCTCCTCTGCTTCCCAAGATCATGTGTATTGCTTAGACTGCCTGCTATGGGTTTTCCCACTTGCACCCAATTGATCGGATCACTACAAACTTCAAGCAGTTCGTTCAACGAACGACGAGACGACTAGAATTAACAAAATCTCGATTTAACAGTACCTCAAATCCTTGCTATACCCTTCACCGGAGCCCTGATCAACGGTTTTTCGCAACCAATTGTCAGCATTGCAAGAAGCCGCCTCTAACTCAACAACTTCAAAACTTCACCATTTATTCCATCAAATCTTCAATTTATACCTATTCTCAACCACAATGGACGTTTCCAAACATCAATATCCCTCTAACCGTTGATATCTACGCCATCAGTACTACTACTGTCCTGCATCCCCATGTCTCTGCGATGCCTCACCATTTTTTCATACTAGCTTCATCTCTGCTCTAAAACATCATGACGAACTCTCTAGAGGTATGTGCCAAGTGATTCCCCATTTCACCAGCTACTAACATCCAGGAACGTTTGAAAACACACTCCTCGGCTTTCGACGGGTTGTTGTCCTTGATACCCGCAAAGTACTACTATGACGATGCTACCCAAGATCAGTGGCAGCAGAAGAAGAAGACTAAGAAGGAGGCTGCTGAAGACAAGAGGGCCAAGTTGGACCCTGAAAATGCATCCCTGGCAGACACATACAACAACGGTGGTGCCAGCGCCAAAGACGTGATGGATAATAAAGCTAAGACTGCTAAGAAGGTTTCACTCCCGAAAGCCTCTGCTCCCTCAGACCACAGCGATGACGAGGTCATAAACGGCAAAGCCGGCCTTGTGTTTGATGACGAAGGCGACGCACATGAGGCCAAGCAGGAGGAGAAGTTGAAGTCACAGAAGCTACAGCAAAAGCAGAAACCACAGAAGAAGCAGCTCAGCGAGGAAGAGAAGCAGGAAAAGGAGAAGAAGAGGCTTGAATTGAAGGAGAAGCTCGCCAGCAAAATCCAGACTCTCAGAGAAAAGAGAAGAGCTCCCGGCACGAAAAACGCTGGTCCGCTAAAAAGCAGAGAGCAGATTCTTGCCGAGCGTAAGAAGAAGCAGGAGTTGAAAAGACAAGAGAAGCTCAAAAGAAAGAGAGAAGAGGATGAGGCCGAGTTCGTGGAAGGCGGTAACGCCGACGAAGACAAGTCAGAGGGTGAAGATAAGTCAGACGACGAGAACGACGATATGCTTTTTGGGAACATTGTTTTCGAAGACGGCACCCGTGTTACATCCGACTTGTCCAAGCTCCGGAATGGTATTGCCCAGAAGAAGAAGAAGGGTCCCGCCAATAACGATATCAAAGCACACTTGGTGAGACTTGAAAACAAAAAGCGCAAGTTGGCCCTGATGACCCCGGAAGAGCAGGCCTCGTTGAAAGAATCCGACCAGTGGAAGAGTCTAATGTCGCAAGCGGAGGGCGTGAAGGTCAAGGATGACGAGAAGCTTTTGAGGAAATCGTTGAAGAGAAAAGAAAAGCAGAAGCTCCGTTCCGAGACAGAGTGGAAGGACAGAAAGCAGCTGGTGAAGGACACGATTGCCGCCAGAGCCAAGAAGAGAGAAGCCAACTTGAAGGCCAGAAAGGACAACAAGGGCAAGAAGGGTAAGAACCAGCCCCGGTTGAGGAAGTTTTCTGGAGTGATCAAGAAGGGTGGTAAGCCCAAGGACGGCAAAAAGCGTCCTGGGTTCGAGGGCAGTGCCAAGTCCAAGGGCAAGAAGTAAGCTTTCAGCTTCACAGATGTAACGGTAGTATGACACGGCGTATATAGGGAGATTGAATAGAAAGGCCAGGCAGGGGAGTGTAGAAGCGGGAGGGGGGTCATTAGGCTGAGATGTTAGTTTTCGAATGCTTTGGAGTATTTCAAAAAAATGAATCATCTTTTTCAAATTATCTACCTTCTATGTGGATGGACAGAGAGTCTTGGAAGCTGGATCAATAGGGATGTGAAAACTTCCATTGTTACGGGCCCTCCAAGAAATTTCAAGAAGGGATCAGACCAATTTGAATCACCATATTCACACAAAATGATCAAAATTCCACCCTCTTGACTTATTCAGTTCCGTCGTGTGAACCTTGACATTCTGCACTGGTGAAAATTGCCCTTTTGCGTATGTCTGTCGGCGTATCTCACGAGCCACAGATAACGGCGATGCCATCGCTCACTTGAGGTATGATTTTTTGACCTGATAGCATCAAAATCCAATTAACATAAGCTGATCATTTTCATGGCTTGGTAAGAACTACATGGACTAATTGAATTAGTCCTCTACACCACCCCTGATTCCTGCCAGAAATTGTTCCATACATTCACTGAGGCTCGGTCGCCCACTGAATTCCTGCACAATGGCGACCGTCCCTTCTGACAAATGGCCCCATACTCCAACCCATTGGCTTGGAACGATCACAAACTTGCCAAATCCGCTTAATGGAAGGTAGTTTAATTATTTTATCAAAATTTTAGGATGTTTATTTGCTGATCTTTCCATGAAACATGGGTAAAACACATAACTGCACGTGACAGCATACCTGCACAGCCCTCGGCGACATTTCCCGCTTCGACCATTGCTGGTTTCACCACCCTACATATCACTTTTCTTATAATGTCTGCTCCAGATCAAATCAAGGGCGTTTTGGCCAAAATCGACAAGGTATGTGAAAACTCTCCTTTTCCTCATCATCACATTCTAACCATCTCAGGCTACCGCTGGTATCCAACCATTGCAGGTGTTTGAACAGCAAACTGGCTTGCCTAGATCCTACGCTGTTTTGGGCTTCGGTGTGCTCTACTTCGTTGTCATCTTCTTGAACGTTGGTGGCGTTGGTCAATTGTTGTCCAATGTTGCTGGTTTCGTTATTCCCGGTTACTTCTCCTTGATTGCCTTGGAGACCACCGGCAAGGACGACGACACCGAGTTGTTGACCTACTGGGTTGTTTTCGCCTTCTTCAACGTCATTGAGTTCTGGTCCAGAGCCATCTTGTACTGGGTGCCATTCTACTTTTTCCTCAAGACCATCTTCTTGCTTTACATTGGTGTCCCAGCCTTCGGTGGTGCCAAGATCATCTACACTACCGTTATCCAGCCATTCTCCAGAAAGTACGTTGTCAACCAGGGTCCTGTAAAGTCCCACGTCAACGACGCTGCTGAGGGCATCTCCTCCTCCGTGAACTTGTAAGCCCCGCGGTGGTTGATGTATGTCGGGCTACCTCATACAAATATATGCTCCAATCTTATTTTATTCTTTTTCAGTTGTACCTACAAAGTCCCCGTGAATCCAGCAAAGTCAAACTGGTCCTCTCTAGTCTCCCCGTCGAGTCTGTACTTCACCTTCACTCTCAACTTCACCTTCGACCCTGCCTTACCGGTGATACGCAAGGCCTGGCGAATCACATTGCTGGTGACAAGCGAATCGCTTCCTTGCGTCGTTGTAATATTCAACTTTTGTGTCTTGGGCACAGCGAAAAGCAATTGCACTTGGTCCACCTTGCTGGGGCTGGTAGAGGTGATGTTGGCGTTAAAGCTGCCCTGGCCTTCCTGGAACGACTGGTCGTCAAAAGCAATTTTCAAATGACCATCAGCAAACGCCTCAACCTCTGTAGATGATGGTGCTGGGGCGGACTGTGGGGCTGGTTTCCTTTGCGACAGCGGTTGGTCATACAAGTCAAGAAGACCGTTGGATGCTGCTGCAGGTTTCGATGCTGGGGGTGCTGAGGGAGTCAGGCCGAAAATGTCCAGCAAAAGGTCATTGTCAGTAGCCTGCTCAGCAGCAGGCTGACTTGATGCTGTTGGAGCGTCGTCTAACAAGTCTAGTAAATCTTCAGTCTTCTCAGAAGACGATGTTAAGGTTTTGGGCACCTTGGTCTGGATGTTTCCACCATGCAAGGTCAAGGATTGTCTGTCCTTGATTGGAGGGGCAGGCATGTGTGCCAAAAGACCCTGCTTCAATTTTTGATTTTGACCGAATATCTGCTGATATTCAATAGCACGCGTTTGAATCTCGAGGTTGGTGTCGTAGCTGCGAGAGTTGAGGATAAGACGCAACTGCTCGAGAGAAGCTGAGTCCTTGAACTTCACTGAAAGCTTCACCACGGCCGTTAAGATGTATGCGACAAGCTGCGTGGTCTCTGCATCATTAAAGTTGGAGTTGTTGATGTAACCGTTAATAAGGTCTAATATAGCCACCTCAGATGCAACCACTTGCTTGCCATTTATCTCCACCTCAGTACCAAGAATCGAATCAGCATACTCACCCAAACACCATACACTGACCACAGCCAAGGCATATTGCAGTGGATCCTCCACAGCAGCCAGGAAAAGACGAGACACAAGATGTTTTCTCAATTCTCCCGAGCTGCATCTCATCATGAGAGCCAAGATGTTCGAGATAATGTCGGATGTGATGTAGTTACCAGAAACCTTGAGCATGCGGATTAAGGTGTCAAAGTGCCATTTTTCGTTGGGCGAATATTTCGACGATGCAATGGTGATTTGCGAGGTGATGTAGGGCTTCAACTCGTTGTCAGTACAATTCTCCAAGAAGGTCAAGATCTCGCGGATCAAAACACGAATATTCTCTCCGTTGAGGATGGCAAAAGCAAGCTCCAAGGCCCTACGACGAATTGAAATGTCGCCATCCAGAAGACAACTGACAATGGTTTGGCGATGTCTCTGCACGGCCAATGGCTCGTAGTCTATCACGGTGAGAAGCATCTCGAGAGCCACGTAACGGATATTGTTATCCTTGATCAGCAAAAACTTACCAAGCAGGTTGATACCAAGAACACGGAGCGATTGGTCAGACTTGATCGCAAAGATGGTCTTGATACACTCGTACATGATGGCGTGAGCAGCGTTCTTGACACTGTCTAAGTTCAGCGCCACTTGTGTGAGGATATCGTTCATCTGCTCCAAAAACTCACCTGGGAAGTTCTCGTCAGTGGCCAAGATTCGTAACGTGTGAAGCAAGGTCACCTGCAAGAATGGGTCGGTGACACCGGAAACATCGAAATCGGGCATGTATCCGCTGGTGATGATTCTTCTCAAATGCTCAATCAAGCGAGGCGCCAATCTCATCACGGCTTCTCTCTGTTCTGGGCAATGCTGGTACATTTCCTGGATCATTCGGCACACACCAAGCAAGATCTGAGGCTGCTTTTCCTTCAGCATCTGCTGAACCAATGGCAAAAAGACTTCACCTAAGTCAGGTTCCTTGCTGATCAACTTGGCGGCCACGATACTGGCCTTCTTCTTCAAGTAGGTGGAGTTGGTGGTTTTGATGATCTTCTCCACGTCATTGTACAAATCACGAGCCAATTCCGGCGAAGCAATGTTTCCAAGGCAGGTGAGGGCCAAGCCGACAATGAAGGTGTTTGGATGCTGCATATCGTTGTCCAAGGAGTTCGTCAAAAGTGTCAAGACTTCCTGGTTCTCGTCCAAGAGAAGCATAACAGCCAAGTATCCCAGTCTCTTATCGGCAAAACGCGGAGATGCAAGCAATTTGAGGCATTCCACTTGACCGAAATGAGTCTTCTCGCCCAAGATGTAAAGATAGAGCAACTTGGAGATGTTTATTCGTCTGGTGGTCTGGTCCAAATTTGGATCTCTGAAGGAAGTTCTTATACTGGCGGACTCTTTGCGCACGACGGTCCTTTCGTCCGCGATCGTTTTAGCCTTACGAACGGCTTTGATGAACAGTTTCAACGATCCCATGGCAGGCGAGGCTGGAAGAAGGTTTCGTGGCTTGAGGTTTTGAAAACTTGGTATTTGTTGATACCGTGGTGTACGGGTGTGCAAACCAGGCCGATCAGAGGGTCCACGATTCCACCCAATTAGGGGTCAAGAGGCCGTTTTAAAGGGTTACTGGGGTTCTTTAAGAAGAAAATCAACGGTAAATGTCAGTTGGAAGGACATTTTGGGGATGTCTTACATTGCCCCTACATGCACACTATCAACGGTATTTGCACCCAAACAGGGACCCTTAAACACCTCCATATATGCTAAAACACAATTTCTTTTGTCATTGATATAACGAAAAAAGCCAATTGTCTTTGTATATTCAATTTCATGGGTACATTTCGTCCCGGCGGCTCGCTAGCCCACACAGCAATATAAGTAGGTAATTGCTGCGAAATGATCCAGTTATCAACTACCCTACTCCATCATGTCTTTGGAACCCACAGCCAAAGTGGTGGTGCAGACCACAAAAGGCGAAATCCACATGGAGATCTTTGCCAAAGAGACCGCCACATTCCTGAAACCGTTCCTACAAAACTGTCTAGATAACAAGTACAAGGGCATCCCGTTCGGTAAGGTGCTTCCGTATCTAGTACAGACAGACGGCAATGGCGAAGGCACAAAGTTCAAAAAACGGTACCATCTGAGACTCAAGTTCAGTATGAAGGGCTGTGTTGGGTTAGTGAACTCGGCTGACTCGAAAAGTGCCTCTGTGGATGGCTTCTTCATCACCTCCAAAGAGGCTCCAGAGCTCAATGAGCACTTTGTGATGATTGGGCGGGTCATTGGCGACTCCATCTATAATGTGATCAAGATGTCACAGAACGATATGAAAGAAGACGGCGAAACGCCGGTGCATCCTGTTGTGATTGAGGAGACGAGGGTAACTGAGAAGTACTTTGATGACATTGAGGCGTCCAAGAAGGAGGAGGCTGCAGAACCCAAAAAGAAGAAGAGAAAGGCCGTCAAGCTAGATTACGGTGAAGACG